TCGGCCTTTAACTATCAAAATTTAATAGCATCAATATCAGATTCAGCATCAGATTTCTTCACAGGTGCACAAAGCGCGTGCCTGGGGCCTCATAAATCAAGGTCCTTCAAAATAAGAAAAAAATTATTTTATTTAATTATTATTCTTTTCATAATATTATGTCTTCGATATTATTAATAAGGGATATTGGTGCTATTAAATTTTGAAATACGGAACTCAATGGGATGGGGAGATAGAGCAGGGTCTCGAGTGGGGTCGGACTTAATGATAATTTTACTCGTTATTGGCAGTTACAATACTCTTAGAAACTCATCTCTACCTTCAGATTTAAGCCTTTTATATTATTAATTATTATAAAAAAAGGCAAAAAAGGCTTTTTGGCTCCGCATACAATTTTAACTTTGAACTAGTATCAAAGTATTTTTTAAATTTAAATATTTTTAAAATGAAGATTGTTTATATCATAATTTAATAAAATTATTCCTTTTAAGTTTTTGTTATTACTTATATTTTATATCCAAGTATAATTGAAATTTACTGGACTTCCCAATAGTCCCCTTAATCTCCTGTTCGAGTGCTATCCTAGATGAAATAGCAACAAGCAACCGATAAATTTATTAAATTATTTAGTTATTATTAAATCATAAAAGAGACATATCCTTAATGACGCACGAGAACAAAGTTATGTAAAATTAATTAATGTAATTAAAAATATTTTTTATTATTACAGTAGATTAGTTATTATTAATTCATGATATACAGAATTATACATATTTTTAAAATGGGTCAAATATTAATTTTTGTTATATATAAATATCCTGCTTTTCAATATCCTGACACTTAAATTTTAATTTAAAAATCATGGTGAATTAGATAAATGACAATAAAATTTATTAATGTTTATAAATATTAACGACAATGATAAAGTATTTGCAAGTCTATAAGATGCGTGCACGTATAGACCAGTTTAAAAATATTATGGAAAAAATTACTATACTTTATCATATATTTATTGAAAACTATTTTATGATGAGTTTTCAGGAACAGTTTCATATTTAGTGCATGTATCGTCGCTTTCGTTGTCTCGTTGTTATACACTCAATACATATGCCGGACAGGCAGTTGAAGCTCTGAAAATTTCCTTGGTTTTTCTATGTGCATTTCTTATTTAAATAGTATATAAATATGTCTTAAAGTTAGCTCAGTTATTAAATAATGCAAGAAATATATTTATGTTTAAAATGCAACTCGCTCCAACTCTAATCAAGTGCCTTCTTAGTTTGGTCTCTCATCTACAGTATAATACAGTATTTAGATGCAGTGTATTTGTATATAATGCGTATTATAGGCCGGTAAAACGATATATATATAGAACTAAGCAATTATCAACGAGATAAAAAATTGTAATTGAAACATTTGTCCCGTTATTAAATGATAAATACGTAAAATTTTTAAATAATTTGATGTGCATATAAGCGAAAAATAATTAATTTTGATGTACTGTACGTTTATAACTATATTTTACTTAGAATGTTATATTATTACATATTAAATCACCATGTTATATCTTCATAATAGTGTAATTAGTATAAAACTAAAAATATTTCATTGTTGTCGTTTGTTATGCATCTCTTAGCATACTAAGACCTATGTGTGTGAGGCTAATTTTCACTCATTCTGGAAGAATGGACGAGGAATAAGAATTATTATTGCGACTCTTACTATTTATGATAAATTATGAAGATCCTGATCGTATTCGAACTAGATCTTGTGCAGCAATAGATTGGTGTCTTATTCTGCGGCCATTTTGTAGAAGAGTTCATTTATTTTCAATTAAATAAACTGAAATAAAAAATCAGTTTTCCCTATAAAAATCTTATACAAAATTTATAAATATAGTATTTTTCACTTAAGATATTCTCTTTCGCCTCACTCTTACTGACAAGAACGACTTCTTACATGCAGTCGTCCTATCGATTCATTTAATGTAAATTCATTATTTTACAATTATATAATGCACATTTTAATTTGTAAATGTATTTCTACATAATGGTATTTCAGATGTTTTCAACAGAATCTTACACTAGTCATTATAATCTGTAAATTGAAGTAATATTACTTAGTTTAAGTTAAGAACTAAATAACGCTTTTAATTTGCTCTTGATGCAAATTTGATTAACCCAATAAAATGAGCCAAAGTCAGATATAAAGTTAGAATTTTATTATATTACAACTTCTATATCTGACTTTTAAAACTAATTCATTAAATATAAATGACATCTCCATTAATTCTTTAAAACATAATAACAATGTTAAAAACTTTCATCGACTTAATTATGTTAAGAGGGATGTTTGAAAATTAGAACATATAAATCCAGTTATAGTTTATTTATGTATAAAAGTGTCGATGACTGTAGAAAAATGCTGGTGCAGATATATTTCTGTACAGAACAATTCAGATGAGTTGACTGTTCTATTTTCAATTATATATGCTTACTAGACAAAGTAAATTAACTTTTAAATAAATAAATAATTATATATCAGCTTATAAATATTTTATATATGTGTCATTTTTACATTTTATAAAGGATATTGTTTTGATTTTATATATGAAGGAATTTAATTATAACAAACGTTTATTTATATTAATATCATTCAATAAATTTTGTACGACATTTAGAACGTGACGAATAGTTTTTATAATAAGAATTATGTTAAAAATGTCTAAATTGTTTTTTAAAAAATCTACAACAAAATTCGACTCATAAATTAAACATTTTTATTCGGTTTTATTGGCAAAATTATGTAGTAAAATAGCTACTAAAATCCAACTTTATTACTTGTTTTAAATACGAATTATAAGAAGCCTTGTACAAAACGTGAACAACATTGAAAATTAACTACTCTAGAATCCAACATGAAGTACATTTCTTATAAAAATAAATCACGTTTAAATTAATCCCTTAGAGAAATAGTACAATCATAAAGACAAGTTCCAGTTTGATAGACATAATGCAACTGTTATTTATTATTATTCTGAAATTTTTTATTATTGTAATAATGCAGAAATGCACCAAACTGCCATCAGAATAGTAAAAATATCTTATAAAAAATTCCATAAAATCTGAAGTTAATCATACTTAAATCCAATTAACCAGTTGAATTTAAATATGAACGATGGAAAAATTGGAGTAACAGAAATAATAGAAATTACGATAAAAATCGAATATTTTTTTACGTGGAAAATGTAAATAATGTTATAAAAAATACTGTTTTTACACGCTACTTAGCTGAATATTTATTGTTTTTTTTTTAAAAAAAGCATATCAGATATAGAAGAACGTCCTTTATTCGGTAATGATAAATATAATCAAAAATTTTATAACATTTTTCTTAAATGAAGAAAGAATATTATAAACACTTCTAGTAGCACGTTAATTATCTATAGATAAAGTCTTTCTGATAAGAATTAAAATTTTAAATATAAATACTATAAATATAAATTTTAATGATAGATTTTCACGCTAGATAGCAGCACAGGTTATTTTCAGAAATTAAACTAAAACTTATAAAACGATTATTAAAAAAATATATTATAAATTAATTAAACACGATTCTGTAATCAGCTATAATTCTACATGATTTTTACTTAAAATAATTTAATTTAAAGATCAAAAGAATCTTTAAGTGAAACTGTTTTTAAGTAAAAACCACATTTAAAACTTCTTTTTACAACTAAAAATTATTCTTACTTTTAACATTAAGATACACATTTAAATTTGAACCTGTCACAAGAGGCGGCTCATCTTAAAAACTGTTTTATTGAGCTTAAACGTTTTATAGAACTACTTTAAAAGCATCTGAAAGCATCATAAAAGTTGTTTATTGAAAAAAAGAAAACACCATTATAAATCAAATACAAACTGAATCCATTATTAAACATAAACTTTATTATTAGTAATTAAAAAAATATATATTTTTATTCATTAAATATGTACTACTGTACTACTTTCATCTCAGATGTTGCATAGATCAGTACGAAACAAGCAATTATACAACTATTGCGTGTTCTTTATTACACCTATTCTCCAGTTATATTTGAATGTTATTAGAAGTTATCAGTAATATTTTCCTAATAGAATACAACTTGTTGTATGTATAAATTATACATATACATACATAAATACACAATAAAATTTATCTCCTAAGTTATCAATAAATGCTTTACAAATGTCAAACACTGGAAGAAAATGGTAATAAAAGCATTAGAAAATAAAATTTAAGTCATAAAATATACAAAAATTTTTAAATTTTATTAATAAATAGATATAAAAATGTATAGAAATTTATTAGTGCAGCTTGCAGGATTTAGATTTCTAGAAGTATTATTTGTTTTTTCTCATCTCAATTGATAAATGATAACAGAACTTACAGAAAATTAATCACAGATCTAGTGATTTCAAAACATTTGCTAATCAATGTCAAAACTTATAAAGCAAAAAAGTATACAGGTCAATACTAGAATCGAGTAAATACATAATAATCGAATCTAATCGTCAAATAGCTTGCCATATTCGGAAATATCCGAATATAAAGTCTAAAATTAATAATATCCCTATAAAAAAAGAAAAGTTTCTCATGGAAATTCGGTATGCAAATATCACTAACTCAATGGACAATTTGTGGATCATCAGTAGACCGCAGAATTAATATAATTCAAGAGATATAGAGTATAACATAATACCGAAAAGAAAAACATTTGTTTACTTTGAGTAGAAAATTTATTTCGAGAGGAAGATACGTTTAGTTTTGCTTATGTTTATCGCTCACACAGATAAATATTGTAATAAACTAATTTATCCTTATATTTATACGCATAATAAACTTTTATAACGTAGACACGTATCAATGGATGCGAATAGATTTAAAATTTACTAAACAAAGTAAGAAAGAATAGTATTTGAAGTTTTACTATAGTTCAGTGACGTCACAACCAATGAGAGAAGGAAAATGAAAAAGCTATAAACCACTTCTATAGACTGAGTTGGTGGAAGTGAAACAGTTCGGAGAAGCGACAGTTTCTGTTTTAAAAACTTTTCTGCTTACAGAAACGATATCGCGATTAACTTTCGGAATTTTATATAAAAGGTATGTAAATCAAACATTTCATTTTTTCTTTAGGATTTTTTTTAAAAACAGTATTGACTATACGGTTGAAATGACTACTGTGAAGTCCGGTAATTTATCTTGTATAGAATGTTACTATACAATATAATGGCAATGGATTTATTGATATATTTATATATTTTTTACAGGATTAACCACTATTGTCAAACTGACGACGGAGCAACATATTAATCGATTTAATATACCTCCTAGATTTATGAAAAAATATACGTTGTTCAACATGGTTACGAATGAAATCGTTCATCCAGCCCTCCCTTACTCTATGGGATACATTTCTACTATTCCAGTGCAGATAAATGAATCTACAGTTCATTATCCGACTGCAGTGGTTACTTTTCAGATGTGGAAACAATTGTTGTGAGTAATTTCAATTAAATAAGCTGTAAATAATAGTTTCGACTATTTGGTCTCGAGTGAACTTAAATTTTAAGACAATAGCAATCATGTTAACTTTACTGGATATATACTAAGCATATTTAACGAATAAATGAAATGCTATATTTGACATATTATATTGCATTGTGTAGAACATAAAATATATAATTTTTAGCTCTAAGCTCTATTAAAAATATCCGTTTTTGGAAGTTTATTACCTGTTCTTTAGTATCAATGAAAAGCGATCGTTCAACTTATTCTTATTGACCATTCTCCACAGTTATCTATCCCATTGGGGACCAAACTCAAATTCATACTTAAGTTAAAATATATATATTTATAGTTAAATAATAATCTATCTTTCTCGTGTCCTTCACATTAAAGTAGTCATAAAATCATTTTCAAGTACGAGTTATCGTCGAGAGAATAGGTTACGCTCTTAATTAAAATATCATTAAGGTCCTTCGCTGGTGAGTTATGTTGCAATTCCTTGTTGACGGCGATCACCATCAGTATTTTAAGGTTAATTATCTCCCAGTTTTCAAAATAAGAAAGACCTAAATCTGATCTGTGCCTCAAAAAACACGAATTTCTTACAGAAAATATTTAATTTATCGATTTAACATGATTTTAAAGTAATGGAGTCATGTAATTAGTTAAATTTCCTGCAGCTTATGAAACAAATGATGATGCAACGGAAAAATCAATAGCTTAATTGATTGTTTTACTTTTAATTTCGATTCGTATTTCCTATTTTAAACTAATTTGCGAGTTTAAAAGGAAGGATGAAAGTACCTGCCAATACACAATACAGTCGGGTAAAATTGTCATTTTTATAACCTTGAACACAATTTTATCTGCCGTTTTTATCGAAAACTTATCCTAATTAAAGTATGTTGTATATATATAAAAAATACTTCAGTTGAAAGGAAAATTATCTTTTAATTTTTTAAAAAAATATTTAACGATTCGTATACAATTTATTTTTTATTTTGAAAGACTTCCTTTCATTCTGTTGTATTTCAGCAGTAATAAAATATACGGAAAATATTAAATTTACTCTTCCTCTCTGATACAGCGGAATGGAACAAATATGGCATATGGAATTTTATCAATGGTTCTCTCAGTATCCTGAAGTTTGGCACATTTCCTGTTTGAGAGAATCGGATATTCCTCCTCGAGGATGGTACAAGTTCGTTGATTCGGCGAAAGTAAGATTCTGTTGCGAAGTAAGTATGAAAAATAAAATATATATGAAATCTTATAAAAATTCTAAAATATTTGATAACGCTTTCATAATCTTTGAAATCAAAATTCAAAAGATGTACTAAAGATAGAATCCTTCCAAAAAAACTGGATTTTACAAGGTCGAAATTACAACCAATCCTTAGATTTTCAACTATATTATTCAATCAATTCTAAAAAATTAAAAACCCAGAAAATATTTTAGAAATCTTTGAATTTCTAATGTAGTTTCCAGATATTTCAAGAGCAAGGTTGTTGGAGTAAAAACTTGTTCCTGAAGGATATCGGAAACGAAATTAAAATCGAAAAAACTGCTGGAGGATCTGGAAACAATTGTAAAACGGTATAATAAAATTCTTAAAATTTCCTATAATTCTTTCATGTAATTAAAATAAATAGAAAGAGAGCGTTTGAAACTATTCTAGTGTAAAAACAGATTTCAAAGATTACTTTTAAAATGAAGTAGAAATTCTAATTCTTATTATATATATAATACTATCTTAAAGGATTTATAACAGTCATTGTTCAGTTCAAATTTTGCAAACAAAATCTAAAAATTCAGACTAATAATATTGGACTGAATTATTAAGCAAAAAAAAAAATCTAAAATTTATCAAATAATTAAATAAATTAGTAATTAATTTCAAAAACAATTAGTAGCTGTAAATAATGTAATCAACATTCTAAATATGTTAGATATAAAAACAGCGTGTGCCTGGATCCGTATAGAACGGAAGGGATGTATTTATCCCCCAATATTTCTGTACTGGCAAATTATCCCCCAATATATTTTAATTTTATATCATGCTACAAAAATTTAGAATAGAATATACAGTGCTCACTGTACATCTTATTTTTATATCCATTTAAAATCTAACAATAAGAGTTTTCTTTCCCATTGAATTGGTTCACCCCAATCTACAGTATGTACTCGTATATATGGTAAATTATTAATTTTAAAAACGCTTTTCGAACGTTAAAATCTTAGTTTACGTCTAAACTCTACGTTTAAACAATTCAAATATTAATAAAATGTTTAAAGTATATTTATTTAAATCTATAAGTCATTTTTTATACACGTAAATTAACCTGATAAGATAAAATGTATCCATTTAACTAGACGTAAAATATAATTGAAAAATATTTTTTGATTTTTTAAAAAAATAAACGAATCAAATATTTTGTTTATTAAATAAACAAATTATTATTTTTACATATTCATAAATATTTTTAAATCGCTAGTATCAGGTATAAATTTTCATGTGGGTTTACATATGTAAAATCATAACAACAAGGATATTATATAACACGCTTAGCAGGTGACATAACCTATTTTTTAAATAGGCTATAAAATATATTAATATTAATAAATAAACCACTTTTATTTCATATTTATTTCGTCGAATAAATTATCGAGAGTTGAAAATTATTAGGTTGAATCATAGGATAATTATAGGTTTTTAAATCGTAAGATATTACAGAACTTTGCGGTTCGAATCTCCATTAATTTGAAGCTCTGTTTAAGACACGTAACCTGAAAACTGGTTCCTGACGAACCATGATTGAGCCACGTGTATTACATTTATAACTATAAACATTATCCTTACTTAGAGTGAGATTTTTCCCCCCATTTTTCATGTAGATTGCTGAAAACAGAATTTTAAATAGAAACGCGACCTTGCATTTGTCTATACTGTACTTAGATAATAATAATAATTATTATTATTTCTTGGAAAGGGAAAAATTTTGCATTCTCCGCATGTTAGAGCGAGATTTTATAACCGGAGAAGAGATAAAAATTAAATAATGTTAAAATTTGTTACGCAATGCATTTAATTAAAGACCAGAGTAAAAACCCACTTGAATAAAATTGATCGCTTTAATAATGCTAATTCTAATGTTTATATATATATTTTTTTCCTCTTAATTTTAGTTGAATATATTTTGTAAAAGTCCTGTTGACTCATCTGATTATAAGGTGCTGTACAGTTTTCTTAATCTCTTCGTGTAACGCAAAATATTGGATTAATGCTACTTAACATAAATTCGTTTTATGACGAGCGTGACAATTATGTTTCGCCAAGATTATATAAATAGCATTTTACGAAAAGTAATTTTTTTTTTTTTAAGCAGCACGTTAAGGAACATCTTTTATGCATACATCGTTTCCATTAAATTACATATTTTTGTTTAAAAATATTACAGTATTACTATCAAGGATAAATGTGCAAAAACATCCATTTATCCATCAATAATTCGCAATTTGATACGCCAAACGTATTCCGAACAATAGCCAGTAATCTGATCTTTTGTACTTTTTTACACAATTCTTGTAATTTCAAAATATTTTAAATATTTAATGAATATAAACACGCAAACTACCCTATTTCGAGAATTCAAATTGTATTGAAAAAAAATAAAAAATACTAAATGATGCTATTTGCTAATACTGTACAAATAACTTTAGTGAGAGAAAAATCCTTGTATTTAAGCGCAATAAATTAAATTAACCATAAAATATATGTAATTTGGAATGCAAATTACAATCAAACTCGAGAATTTATACAGTGAACTTTTGTATTTTTGCTAAAGTATTTCTCTGGATGGGTACATAAATTAAATAAACAAAAAAACATACAATTTTATTTCGTAATTTACAAAAATTAAGTCTTATTAATTAATTTTTAATAGTAATATTCAGATAAATTTGCTTAACTATTTTAAAATAATCATCCTTCATTTTATTTTAATTGTTATCAAAGAATATTTTTATGATCGTTGCTGGCACAATTAAATAAAATCCAGGAATTAATTACGTAACCAGTTTGAATAATAAAATCATTGAAATTTTTTTAAAAAATACGTAAACAAAAGGAGAATTCCGTTTACACGAAGATTGTTCTATAAAAATTCTTAAGATTTATTGAAAAATTCGCTAGAAATTCATGTATTCATTATGCGAAATCTCGACTGCATTTAAATCAAAGTACATTAAAACTTGTAAACATTAATTTTACACGCGAAATAAGTAAAAATTAATGGTCATTATTTAATTTATTACTTCATGGAAATTTTACATCATCAAAAATGACCTTGTAAGATTCGAAGTACAGTACAAAAACAGGAAAAAAACAGTATAGATAAATATCCATAACTAGTTATGTCAAGCATTAGTCCACCTATTTTCTTAGAAAACTGTTGTTATATAATTTAAATTATTTTTATTTACTATATTGTAAATGTGCAATTTATATATTTATTTATAACAGAGCTGTGGTCATGGTTGGACATCAATGAAAGGAAGGGTGGCCTTTTGGTTTACTTTCTATAACAACATGAAGCAAGGATTCATAACTTTCAAATTATATGGACAAATCTGTGATAAATGTAATACTGGCAAATATGAGACTGCTATGTGGTATCCGGAAGAAGTAAACAAGGTAAGGGAAAAGTATATAATAAGAAATCTATATAAAAGTATTCAAACAACTTTACTAAACTTGGCTATTTTCCAGGATTTTATAATATTTACCATGATGTCATAGTCTAAGGTCATTTTGCTTTAAGCTTTCGTTTTCAGTTTCCTCGTTTTAATGAACATATTATTTACTCTCTCCTAATGTAAAAATAATGTCTATGAAACGTGACTACTAAACATTTATGCTACAGAGATGAATGCAACACTAAAAATATGGCTCCATATGCTAAATGGGGCATCGTTATTTAACCTACTCATCTTGAATTTTTAGTGTGTTTTATGTGCTGAACCGATAATGAATAATAATAAAAAGAAATCTTTCTTAAATACAAACAAATACAAGAATTTTTAGTGTATTATATATAAATTTAAAGTTTAAAATTCTGATATTTAAAATTTTATTGCAACAAAGTAATTTTTTAATGTGATATTTATTCATAACTATTTCTTCAACTCAAGAATATTTATGAATAAATATTTTCTTAATATGAAATATTTCTTTTTTTTGAAATAAGTCATAGATACACAATTTCTTGATAGCTAAGTTTTTTTTTAATTGTAAATAATTTATTTACAATTTTATTAAAATTATTTACAAGTAATTATTTAAAAATTCCTAAAAGTATAGTACATATGATGCAGACTTATAGATAAAGTCATACATTTACACCTTCTTTAACATTATTATTAAATTAAAGTTATAAGAAATTGATAGAGATTATTATTTTAAAAATCTCTCAAGAACTTAACTCTCTAAATATTGAGAGAGAGACTTCTTTTGTGTTCATTTCTTTTAATGATCTTTTATGAAAAGAAAAATTGGTAAATTCACTTAAAATTTTAATTATATTAAACTACAAGTTTCTATATAAAATCAACTTCCATTATTTTTTTAACTCCATTAAAAATAAATAAAATAAAATAAAATATTTTTTTATTTTGTTTATAGGTGTTGAGAAATTTGTATTTCAAAGTAGGTCAGAAACTATATGGTGTCAAACAACCTCCTATCAACAGAAACAGACGACCAGGCAAACCCAGAACTCCGCATAATAGCAATTTGTGTCAAGCATGCAAAGACGGTGTGTGCTCCGAGCCAAGATGACCAATAAATAGTTAATTGTACATAAAAAAAAATATTTTATTTTTATATAAAGTTAAATCTACAAATTAAAAAAAATAAAATTTTTCCAATACAAATTAAAATAAGTTTATGATATCTTTGAAAATAAATGCCATCCACTTATATAAAACTAGTCAAATTTGATAAGTCAATTTTCTTTTTTGTACTTCAAAACAATGTTTAAATGTCATCAATTTTATTCCTAATTTTTTGTTTTTACTAACAAACCTGTGATAAATGTCTACTATTTATATACTTTTTCAAGTTACAATTATTAAATTTTCTCTCTCATATTTGTGCCTGAAATTATTATTGTCAATCTATAACAGATATAATTTAATCATGAAACAACATGTATGTTTAAAAGTTCTCAAAGATACACACAATATAAAAATAATACAATTCCATTTTAAATTAGTTGACTTAACACATTTTTACATTATATTAATAAAATACTTTAAATGGTATATTTATACCATTTAAAGCAATATATTAAAGTTTTATAAGCTTTAACTTAAAATTTATATTAATCTGTATATAAAGAATACAACTTTTAAACAACTTATGTTCTTGTGCTTAATAATTTGATACTCCCAAATCATTTTTTGTACATTTTTAGCCAACAAAAAAAAAATTGAGTTATGCAATGATTCTGCTAGTTTTGGTTTTGTTAATAGCAAAATCATTTGTAAAAATTACTTTTTATTGTCTGTTTCCTGTTTAATCTGTTGTTACATTTCATATAAAGTTTATGTATTGTAATGTATTCACTAGAAAAAAAGTAAAACCTAAGAAATTATAAAATCCCCTATCTCTAGGAATGAAATTGAATTTATAACATTTTTAGAAATATATTGCATCCAAATGCCTATATGCTGCAATAATCCAAATTTTAATGAAATTTATTGAAAATTGGCATTGCCATTTGTAATTAATCTTTTCAAAAAAATAAATTCATTACTTTAATTTTTATTTTAAAATATATAATTGTACAGTTAAAAAAAAACTTAGACTTTCACCCAGAATCAAACATAAACTTATTTTCTTTAGAATTTTTAAGACAATTTATTCTCACATTCAGTATCATACTAAACCAGTCAGATAAAAAAGAAAAAAATGTTTACACATCTTTACTTAGAATATAATAAAAATATTAAATGTTAATGACTTAATAAAACAAATAATAAAAGGATATTTTATTGATAGAACTACATTTAAAACAAAAAAATTTGGGCTTTTAAAAGACTGTTTTAGCTGTCAACATTATTGCCTAGTAATTGACATTGGATGATGCCTGAACAACTAGATGCATTCAAATAGATGTTTAAAGATCCAAAATGTATTTGTTTTGAATGTAAATTATAAGGTAATATATTGTGTAAACTGTTAATTTTTAATTGTTAAATCTTTAACAGTTGTACAAAAATTTTTTTTTGTCCTACTTGATTGTTCTACTGTGATGATTGCAAAGACAATAAATGTGTTGGGAAATACTAAATAAAAGCAATTTGACTTTATTACAAAGTTGAAAGAAGTCAATATACAGATTTCATTAATTATGAGGTTTCTATTATCTTCAAAACATTGTAATATGAGTAAAAATTTTCAAACAAGAACCACATTTTCATTTCAAAAGCTAACCTTTATTTGGTATACATACAAGCACTAGTAATTAATGCATTACACTTCATATAATATCAAGGAAACTGAAACTTGATGAACAATTCATGTATAATTGTTATTATGTAAACTGTTAAGGTTTAGAAAAGTTATCTACTTCTCTAGTTTTACATGTTAATAAAATATTTATATTAATAATATATATCACAATATATATTTTAAGCATGCTCTTCTAGAAATATATATTTATTTTTTCCATATTTAACAAGTGTAAAAATTTAAAACTCTGTTCTCTATATAAAATAATTTAAACTGTGAAAAAAGCATTTTATTCTATAAATGTTATTTGAGCACATTAATTCACAAAATATTTTATAGCTATTCTATCAAAATAGGCAACAACATCACATTATTATTATTATTATTATTACTACTACTTTAATAATCAACTCTTCATTTTGTTAAGATATCACATTATAGTAACTATAAATAGAGCAACTATTATTTGCAAGATTTAGCTAAAATTTAAATTTGATATAAGCCTTTTGTGTATGCGTGAAGTATGAAATTCAATGATAATTATAATTATACCATGACAATGTTCAACAAGCATTTTATCTCCAAGAGGGATAAACAATAAACAATTTGCTGATCAACAAATCCATAAATCATAGATAACATATAATAATAAATTCTATAGTATTTTAGTTAATACTTCATTCTTTGACAAACTTAATTACAACAATATTTTAAAATTTAACTATTTTTACATTAATATTAATAAATACTATAAATTTTATACAATAATGGAAGATAATGCACAGGATTCTTTAAAAAATTTAATCACTATTATATGTTATATTTCAATTCTTATTTATTAAATATTAAAAAAATACTTTTAGTTTTTAATATAGGTATATTTTACACACATATTTTTAATATTAAAATTTTTTCATATTTTTAATCAAATTTATTTAGATTTAATAATAAAATGACTTCAAATCACCCCGTGTAATTTTTTTATAATAAATATTTCATATTATTTTTAAAACAGTCAAATATTTTAAAATTACATTATAATATTAACAGTTATGAAAATAAGAGCAATGACAAAGTTTCAATATCAGCTTGTTTTGGAATTTTAACACAGTATGCATTACTTTACAATAAATATTCAACTGTATAGAATATATTGATATTATTTAATCAACAATGAGATGAAAAAATACTTGAACAATTGAATTTCTCAGTTTAAGAAACACTTATTTACTTGTATTTATTTCCATCTAATGTTACTGTATAAGTACTGTGCAATTTTATGGAAGCTTTATTCTTTTATTAATACTGATGGGGATTATCATGTTTTTTAATATTCTATATACAAATTAAAAAACTAGAATTTGTATTTTTTTTTAAAAGAGATTCATTTCTGAAGAAAAATAAATTTAACATTTATATTCTTACATATAACATACTTATTTATAAATGTCTCCTATATAATTTGGCTAATGGAAAACTGATATGATGACTCTATAGTTTATCTATGAAAGAATTGTGTTAATATATTACTCTCTTTAAATTTATAATGCAATGAATAAAGTAAAATCCACTAATCAAGTAATATATTTTGCATATAAATCAATTTAATAATATACTCATGAGCAAATTGAGCACAGAAGCATGCTATCATATTAAAATTTTGAACATAAAATCTAAAACTATTTTCTTTTTTTTTTTTTTGAGCAAAAATTATATAAGCTCGTTTAATATTTTGTGCTGCTATATCACTAATAAAAAAGTAATCTGTAATTCAGTTTGTAATTCAGTAAAATTTTATTTTTCAGTATTGAATTTAGATTTAAAATGTTTAAATATTCATTTTAAAAATTCTACTTTAATTCTGATTTTAAAATCTGCCATAATAGTATGAACCAGGTTTTATAAGTTTAATACAAAAAGTTTTATCTCTAATCCATTAAAATTAAAATTCCATTCTCAGATCTGAAATCATACAATACTTTGTTATTTTACTTCAAAAACTATTTAAATATAATTTATTCAAAAACTTATCAAAGGAGAAATTTCAAGAAATGCTAGAACAGTATTGAAAAACTTGAGCAATCATAGAATACCACTAGTAATAATAAAAGTGAACAATATTCAAATGGAGCTTTTGTTCTAATTTTCATTAAATAAAAATAAATTAAAATTTTAAAAAAATGACCAGTTTTGTTTATAGTGAGTTAAATATTTCAAAAGGTACAAGGCTACTAATTGTACTAATATTTTAATAGAGTTTTATAGCTGCTAATTGTATTGCTATAAAAATTTTATAGCAACATTCTTAATATAAAATATTCAATTAATAAAGTTTGTGCATTTTTTTTTTCAAGATTAAAATTTTGCTGCCTAAAATGCATTAAAATTTTTAGGATGGAAAAGTAAATTTGTGTATAATTTAATAATTTGATAAATTTTGAAATTATACAATTATATTTTAATATCTGAACATTTTAAAATGTAAAGTATAAAAAAGTAAAATAAAATAATTGCTTGAAAAATTAATTTGACTTGAAGCACTATTAAATGGATAAATGATGTGCAAAACTATAAATTTTCTATAAAATAAATACAAAATTTGCTCTAACATAATATTAGATTAAATTATTATTGATGCTAGGAACAAAAAGTTTTAAATATTCTAAAAGAAATATTTTAGTCTTATACCACTGTTATATTTTAAAAGTTTTGTGTTTACATATACAGTATTTTCTATATATGCATTAAACATTTATAGAAGTTCACATACTATTCAATAAAAATTAAATAGTATATGATCCTATACTTATTAATATTTAATCAAAGTTTAATATCTATTTTTAATTCATTCTTTAAAAATAATAATAATAGCAATATTTTTAAAGAATGAATTAATATAGATGGAATTTCTTTACATATTCAACAATTCTTTATAAAATTTATTTTATTCTTTAACTTTTAGATAAAAATTTTCATAGTATGTCTTAAATTAATTCTAATTTAATTATTGAATTGTTTTAGAAAAATCATAATTATCATCGTAATTCAAGTTTTATTGAAATTTCAAAATTCTTTTCTGCTTAAGAACAAGCTTGTATAACTTAATATTAGAATAAATCAAAATACACCCAGTTTTCAATTTATATTTTTGTGGAAATAAGCTTTTGAAAAATATCCACATCTTGGATATGTGTGCGGAAATTTTTATAGCTATGCAAATTGAAAAATTACAAAATTTGTAAACTCAGTCTTAAATTCTAGTTCATCTACAATTCTGTCAACATCCTGTTTCCATTCTTTCTGTAAAATCTTTGACTGACGAAAGTGTTGACTTTCTGTCTTCTAATAACAAAGATGCCCTCTAATACTAAATAACTAATCTATATATACAGTATAAAATTACATGTCCTGACTGACTGATTCATTATCGCCCAGAGCAAACTGCTGAACCTGGAGAGATGAAATTTGGTACACAAGGTATGTCATAAAAATGCACACTTCAAAATTCCCCCCACAGGGGAGAGGGAAAAGATTAAGGCTTAACTTGAAGAACGGTTTCTATTGTACTATTTTAGATGCAATTTTTTGTTTTTAACTATGTTTTAGTAGGGTACACCATGAGAATGCACACTAAGAAGTAATTTTTGGAAATTCCCCCTCCCCTGAAGGGGAGAGGATTAAGGCTTAACCTGAGGAACAGCTTTTACTGTGCTATTTTAGATGCNAATTTTTTTATAATAAATATTTCATATTATTTTTAAAACAGTCAAATATTTTAAAATTACATTATAATATTAACAGTTATGAAAATAAGAGCAATGACAAAGTTTCAATATCAGCTTGTTTTGGAATTTTAACACAGTATGCATTACTTTACAATAAATATTCAACTGTATAGAATATATTGATATTATTTAATCAACAATGAGATGAAAAAATACTTGAACAATTGAATTTCTCAGTTTAAGAAACACTTATTTACTTGTATTTATTTCCATCTAATGTTACTGTATAAGTACTGTGCAATTTTATGGAAGCTTTATTCTTTTATTAATACTGATGGGGATTATCATGTTTTTTAATATTCTATATACAAATTAAAAAACTAGAATTTGTATTTTTTTTTTAAAAGAGATTCATTTCTGAAGAAAAATAAATTTAACATTCATATTCTTACATATAACATACTTATTTGTAAATGTCTCCTATATAATTTGGCTAATGGAAAACTGATATGATGACTCTATAGAATTTATCTATGAAAGAATTGTGTTAATATATTACTCTCTTTAAATTTATAATGCAATGAATAAAGTAAAATCCACTAATCAAGTAATATATTTTGCATATAAATCAATTTAATAATATACTCATGAGCAAATTGAGCACAGAAGCATGCTATCATATTAAAATTTTGAACATAAAATCTAAAACTATTTTCTTTTTTTTTTTTTTGAGCAAAAATTATATAAGCTCGTTTAATATTTTGTGCTGCTATATCACTAATAAAAAAGTAATCTGTAATTCAGTTTGTAATTCAGTAAAATTTTATTTTTCAGTATTGAATTTAGATTTAAAATGTTTAAATATTCATTTTAAAAATTCTACTTTAATTCTGATTTTAAAATCTGCCATAATAGTATGAACCAGGTTTTATAAGTTTAATACAAAAAGTTTTATCTCTAATCCATTAAAATTAAAATTCCATTCTCAGATCTGAAATCATACAATACTTTGTTATTTTACTTCAAAAACTATTTAAATATAATTTATTCAAAAACTTATCAAAGGAGAAATTTCAAGAAATGCTAGAACAGTATTGAAAAACTTGAGCAATCATAGAATACCACTAGTAATAATAAAAGTGAACAATATTCAAATGGAGCTTTTGTTCTAATTTTCATTAAATAAAAATAAATTAAAATTTTAAAAAAATGACCAGTTTTGTTTATAGTGAGTTAAATATTTCAAAAGGTACAAGGCTACTAATTGTACTAATATTTTAATAGAGTTTTATAGCTGCTAATTGTATTGCTATAAAAATTTTATAGCAACATTCTTAATATAAAATATTCAATTAATAAAGTTTGTGCATTTTTTTTTTCAAGATTAAAATTTTGCTGCCTAAAATGCATTAAAATTTTTAGGATGGAAAAGTAAATTTGTGTATAATTTAATAATTTGATAAATTTTGAAATTATACAATTATATTTTAATATCTGAACATTTTAAAATGTAAAGTATAAAAAAGTAAAATAAAATAATTGCTTGAAAAATTAATTTGACTTGAAGCACTATTAAATGGATAAATGATGTGCAAAACTATAAATTTTCTATAAAATAAATACAAAATTTGCTCTAACATAATATTAGATTAAATTATTATTGATGCTAGGAACAAAAAGTTTTAAATATTCTAAAAGAAATATTTTAGTCTTATACCACTGTTATATTTTAAAAGTTTTGTGTTTACATATACAGTATTTTCTATATATGCATTAAACATTTATAGAAGTTCACATACTATTCAATAAAAATTAAATAGTATATGATCCTATACTTATTAATATTTAATCAAAGTTTAATATCTATTTTTAATTCATTCTTTAAAAATAATAATAATAGCAATATTTTTAAAGAATGAATTAATATAGATGGAATTTCTTTACATATTCAACAATTCTTTATAAAATTTATTTTATTCTTTAACTTTTAGATAAAAATTTTCATAGTATGTCTTAAATTAATTCTAATTTAATTATTGAATTGTTTTAGAAAAATCATAATTATCATCGTAATTCAAGTTTTATTGAAATTTCAAAATTCTTTTCTGCTTAAGAACAAGCTTGTATAACTTAATATTAGAATAAATCAAAATACACCCAGTTTTCAATTTATATTTTTGTGGAAATAAGCTTTTGAAAAATATCCACATCTTGGATATGTGTGCGGAAATTTTTATAGCTATGCAAATTGAAAAATTACAAAATTTGTAAACTCAGTCTTAAATTCTAGTTCATCTACAATTCTGTCAACATCCTGTTTCCATTCTTTCTGTAAAATCTTTGACTGACGAAAGTGTTGACTTTCTGTCTTCTAATAACAAAGATGCCCTCTAATACTAAATAACTAATCTATATATACAGTATAAAATTACATGTCCTGACTGACTGATTCATTATCGCCCAGAGCAAACTGCTGAACCTGGAGAGATGAAATTTGGTACACAAGGTATGTCATAAAAATGCACACTTCAAAATTCCCCCCACAGGGGAGAGGGAAAAGATTAAGGCTTAACTTGAAGAACGGTTTCTATTGTACTATTTTAGATGCAATTTTTTGTTTTTAACTATGTTTTAGTAGGGTACACCATGAGAATGCACACTAAGAAGTAATTTTTGGAAATTCCCCCTCCCCTGAAGGGGAGAGGATTAAGGCTTAACCTGAGGAACAGCTTTTACTGTGCTATTTTAGCTGCAATTTTTTGTTTTGATAGTAATAACTTAATTTCCAAACATACATTGTAATGTTGTCACAATAACTGCATGTTCATTATCTTTATTTATTGATAATAATAATAGTAATATATCATTATTATTATTAATAAAGATAATGTGTAAATAAACATACATGATAGGTTTAATAATAATAATAAATTATTGTTGTTATTAATCATACAATGTATTCCCACAGAAATTTAAATGATTTATAAAATAATCTAAATATTCTTTATATTATTAAATAACATTTTTAACACTAAAAAAGTTTTTGCATATGACATCAAATGATTTTATATTCAAATATATTAAAATATATACTATAATTCAATACAACATAAGATGTATTGAATTATAGTATATATTTTAATAATGTAACATAAGATAATTACATTTTTCATCCTACTTCTTATAATGATTTATCAGTATCTAGATGAGTGAAGAATTTTCTGGGGCAGTCTGCATTAAAACATGTACATGCCAAATAGTTCTTTTTTGAGCATTCTCAATTTGCATTGCCACTTCTAGGAACAATCTACCTCATAACTATGAAAACTAAAGGACAAATATTGTTATAAACATTTATAAATATTATGTAACAGTGGTATAAGACTTTCAAAAAATTCTCTGCATTCAAGAGAGAAAAAGTAAATATGTTTTTTTTTCTTTTGCACATATTTGATTTTTAGATTTTATCTATTATCACATTTAGCTTTAAAATAAATGCTTCAATAATAATTCTACATGTAAATTATATGGAAACAATGATAAAAACACAAATTATCTACAGAAAATCTAAAACAAAAAGTTGAAAAAATGACAGTTATAAAACATGCAATTTAAAATCTTTTTCTTATCACAGACAAAAGAAAACACAATGAATTACATTACACTTAATAAATACAATACAATTAGTTAAACTAATAATAATATTCTTTCATTTTACATGGATTGGTCTTTATAAATAAAATTTAAATAAAGAAGTTACAGTAAAATAAAATACATATGTACACATATTTCACAACCTAAAATTAGTATACTCTATTTTTTTTATCCAAAACTTTTTGGATTTGAATTTCAGACACAATCCATTATCTAAAAGGTTACAATGAGAAAATAATTTTAAATATATTTGAAAAGAGAGTTTAGCTGTATTACAGCTTACTATTACCCATCAAAACATGACTTTCTAAAACTCCAATTGCTGACCGTAGTGCATAATTTACATAAGATAACTGCAGGTTGACTAAATTCCAATTTTCAGATGTATTATTTTCTTGAGCATCAAACATAGCTTTTGATAAAAATGGAAATATTATACCATTATAATTGTTTTTGAAATCTGGTCCATAGATTACATGGCTGTAAAAGATGGAATAATTTATCATAATCTGATATGTTAATGAAACTGTAAGTGCTTGAATATTTTTTGAAATCATAATAATTTAAGTAACATTTTTGGACTCTTTTTACCCTAAGGGACATTAAGACCTTTTCTTGGGTCCTCTTTTGTGGGTTTGGCCAGACCCACAATGAAACAGCCAAATGATGTGGGATGGAGGCCAACATTCCACCTTCTGAAAAATTCATGGTAACCTGAATTTAATTCCAGATCCCCAGGGCAGTAGGCTGATATCTTAACAATCTCAACCATCTGGTTGGCTTTAAATAATTATTGCAATATTTTATTTTATTTACTTATGGAATCAAACATTTTACTGAACTAATCTGTATTGTTATTATTATTGACAAATATATGAAAAGAGACAAATGTGCTAATTTTCTTAAAATAATATATATTATTATTAAAACTAAAATTTTAAAATATTTTATTATCTCAATAATATTCTTTATAAGCTGAGTTAAAATAAAAATATGATATAATCTATGAAAAAATACAACAGAAAGTAAAATCTTTTATAATAATGGGAAAGATCTTTCATCATATTCTAATATCAAAATTTCAACTAAACAACTAAAGCAACTGCAATCTACCAATAATTGATATGAGTTATTTTTGTATACATTTCAAAAGAGACTATATTACATCTACATTGTTCTTTAAATTAAATAATTTAAAAACAAACAATATAATTAATGAAATTAATATGTTAGTCCAATTATTTAAGTGAAATAAAACAATAAAAATGCATATTTACAAGATAATGGTAATGCAAATTTAAAAGAAACTAAATGACAAGAGTATATATTATCTTATAAAATAACAAAAAAGGCCTCATTAATTTAAGTATGATTAGATGATAAATTTACAAACTTGCTTAACTTGTTGTATAATGTATTTTAAAATTTAATCATACAAATTTAAATGAATAATTTTTAAATAGATTCACTAAATGTAATGAAAATATTTTCACCTATTGACATTTATTTTCATAATTAGATTAACGTACTTTATAATAATTAATGAAAGTAGCCTTTGTTTTATAGTTACAGATCAGAAACTTTGAAAAATGTAACCTTTGCCATGTTTAATTTTAAAATTTGGCTAAAATAAGTTGTTTTAAAAAATATGATCTCAGCTTTAGTTGGAATTAAAAAAAACTAAAATTATTTACAATAATTTTTTAAACTACTGAAACAAAAAGGAATGAAAGACTAACCTATCATAACATTATTTTTATTTGAAATTATTTTAAGAAAAATTTCTTATGATTTCAGAAAATATTCTTTAATTTTATAAATATCGAAGAAAATTAGACTTTGACATTAACACACAAACAAATATTAGGTCAGTCCATAAGTTCGTGGGTATTTTATGACCTTGTTTTGCTGTTAAAAATGCCAGTCTAATGTGATACTTTTTACACTGAAGTGTTAAATTGGATCTCATTCATATAATACTGTTCAGAATTGGGAACATTTCAGTTGTTTATTTTCGTTAAAATGGAAGTAACAGATGAATATAAGAGACATGTTTTATACTTTTTATTTTTAAGTGGTGAGAATGCTACAAATGCAGCCAAAAAATTAAATACTGCTTATAATCAAACTGTAACAAGTGTAAGGACTGCGCAGAAGTGGTTTGAAAGATTTAGAAATAATGATTTTAGTGTGGAGGATAAGGCTCGTACTGGAAGACCCGTTGACTTTGATGATGATGCTCTCTCTGCACTAGTTGAAGCAGAACCATCTTTAACAGTTGATGAAATTGCGGAACGTTTAAATTCATCCCATGGAACTGTTCATAGACATCTACAACAAATCGGAAAAGTTTCAAAGCTAGGAAAATGGATACCACATGAACTGTCAATAGCTAACTGACAACAACGTCAACTGCTCAACTCAAAAGCTTCAACTGGGAAATTTTACCTCATCCACCATATTTGCCAGATATTGCTCCCAGTGATTATCATCTTTTTCGGAGTTTGCAGAATTTTTTAAAAGGAAAAACTTTTGAGGATGAGAACAATGTAAAAAAGGCTATTTCTGAATATTTTGTTTCAAAACCGAAATCATTTTACAAAGACGGGATTAAAAAGCTACCATCAAGATGGAAAGAAATTGTACAAAATAATGGTGAATGCATTATAGATTGAAATAAGATTTAATTAAAATTTTTTGTTGCTTTTTTGTAGATAAAAATGTGCACGAACTTATGGACTGACCTGATACTAATTTTATCATATAAATTGGTAAAAGCACTAATCTGTAAATTAAAAATTCTTACCGCAGATATGAAGATGAGGAAACTCCATCTGGTAACAGAAATGAATGTTCAATTGCTATAAGGCGATCATTATACTCATGTGCTTCTAAATATAAACTGAAAAAATTTATTAATTTAATTTTATGCAGGGATAATTTCTATACTAAAAATATAAATTAAAATTATAATTATTACTCTCTGTCTCCAATTGTTTTAAAATTATTATGGAATTCTTTGCAAGCTTCTTCAAAAGACTTTAAGACTAATGTGACATTGTCTAAAATTAAATAAAAATATATTATATAATTCTCTATGACACAATTATCTTACATACAAAAGTTAATTTATTAATTCATATGATATTGAAAATATTTCACAAATATAGTGTAATTAATGCAAGTAAATTTGAAAATATATTTAAATTACACATTACTTAATACTTCTATTAATAAATATGAAAATTTTTTACCTAAACTTATACCATGATCTTGTAAGAGCTTTTCATGATTTTTGGAGAACTCAGCAAAATCTCGCTTCAACTGATCACTGTAATGACTAACTACCATTGGAAGATGTAGAGAATCTGTTAATTTCATTAAAAATGCACCTAACATGTGAGTCATCGTGGTCATCATCTTGAAGTTGACATCGGTATAATTTGCAACTGCATCAAAAGTATCATAAGACGTATGATAAAGAGGATAATCAGATATCTAAATATAAGAAAAAAATTAATATTTTACTTAAAATTTTAAAATGTATAATATTTGAAATACAAATTTAAAAAAAATTAAAATCAATTTTATGATGTTTTCAATTAATTAATTTCATTTTATTAGACTTTGTTCTGACAAAATTTAATTTGATTCTTGTTTCAATAAAATAAAATAAAATTTTGTCAGAACAAAGTCTATTTTTAAGTGCACAAATTTTTTACAAAATAAAGAATGGATACATTGTGAATTAATGTGAGTTACAAAAACTATTGAAGAAAGTAATTAATAAAATACTGCACATTAAGTATTATTACTGAAATTTAATATTAAGATTATTAAAATAAGTTAGATAATGAAAACAGGACAAAATAGGCTATTAAGCTGCTTTATTTTTATCTTATTCACTGTGTTTGTGATTTAATTATGTATGGAAAACGTAACTTCTTATGTGCTCATCTTTATTTTATATGTTCTACACTCCTCAAAAATGAAATTGCAACACCATAAAGAAATGTGCAAATTGTAGGATCAGTACAAATAACAGGGATATGCAAATGACTAAGATTGTGTTTGCATTGGGTCATGTGATACCCAGTTTTAAGCTATAAAGACCAGCAGCTGGCTCAGATCATAAATGCTATCATCAATGGTTCACAGTAGTCAAACTTTGAAGAAGCATAGAAACTGCCACATACTGTAAACTACAGTGGTTGCAGTTTGGCAAGGGATATTGTTGCAAGCAACCATTAATCACCACATTGATAGTATGCCTTGCCATATAGTGGCCTGTATAGCTGTCCTTGGGGGCCATATTCATTACTAAATAAACAGGTGTCTGTTACATATCTTGTTCTTTTAATCATTTGCATCTCTATCACCTCTATTGGTCCTGCAATGTGAATGTAGTTATGCACATTCCTTAATAGTGTTGTGATTTCACTTTTGTAGAGTGTATATATCCTATTTTCATCACAATGCTATAAAAATGTATATAAAATCTATATATATATATATATATATATAAATGG